GTTTTTCTTTTCCTTTAGATTCTCACTCGCAATTTTCAACATAGAGCCATTCTCAGTTTCCCATGATTGGAGGACTGAAAGTGTGTGATAAGCGTTGAGTGTGGGACAGATAAAAGCTCCTTCCTAGGCCGTAGGCGTCCCTGTGGAAGAGGCCCTTGATTGCTCCTTTGTCTTTCTCATTCTCTCATTCTCTCCGCTGGCACCACTGCTCCCGAATCATCCCTGCAACCAAATATATTCATTGAATAATACAAGGAGTGAGTGTTGGGTCATGTGCTAGAAACTCATCTTGCTCCTTCCCTCGTGTTCCGTGGGAGCACAGACATGTTAGAGACAGAGAAAAAAGCGGAAGAAACCCATCAGATAAATTGTCTCACAATCTTTTATCGGCTACTCCCTGTGCCATAAAATGATCTTTCTCTTCTTGGATCATTTTTACAAAATCATCACTTTGAAAATAGACTTGTTTGATTGAATGTTTCCCATAGAGTATGTTATTAATTCAACCCCATGAGATGGAAAAACAGACAATGCCTCAAGGGGGGAAATTATGCTGCTATCTGTTTTATGGCTGCCATATATTTCTGGAGTTGGAATTCTAATAAATAGCTGTTAATGTCTCTGCTACTTGGGGGTCAAATTATAGTCGGAAACCAACGGGATGGACTTGCCCCAACAATACTGTTTATTGTGTTTTTAGCCGTGGCAAGAAATAAATGGACAATGGCATGCTAAATAAATTCTACATTTAATCTGTTCTTTTGTATATGAAAAAAAGCACATTTTGTAGTTGTCTACTGTAAAAAGGGAGGCTGAAATGTCTTTAACCTTTATACCTTCAGCAATGTTAGTCCCTTCTGAAGTGTACTTTAGTTGTGGTGTGCAAATGTCAGCTCAATTAACACTCTGAACACTTTGGGCTTCGTTAGAAAGCTAACTAGACCGCACAGTTACTTTGCATAATAATCTGACATTTTGAAAAGGCCGTTATCAGAAAAACAGACAGCATTGGTTGTTTGTTTAAAAGCCTGAAATGGGCTTCTTTTGTTTAACTGGCAAGGACTTCTTCTGGCCGTGTGAATAATAGCTGTTGTTTTTTAGAAGAAGTAAAGGCAGAAGTAGCCTGACATAAGTTGATGGCAGCAACACTTTATTTTTAGGACTTATAAAAGGGAACATTAAAATAAGTTATCAATCAAAAATTCAAAACACCTTTATTTATACCTTCCATGACTGAAAATAATCTATGAGAAGAAAAACATTGTATTTTGCTAGACCCTTACTCGAAGTATACTTGTGACTTAACAACAAATACGTAACATAAGACAAAATTAATCAATAGCCATACACAACAATATTTCACAATAAACAAGGTAACAGATTATTTCCCACTTCATACGATTTATTGTTCTGCTTTATATATGTTCCTGAACTGAGAAATACTCATACAACCCTTTAAACCAATCTGTAGAGAATTCCACATTCTGACTCCAAACAATGATATACATATCTGCTTTTAAGTAGTCCATGCATACTGAGGCTTTAAATGAAATGTCCTTTTATTGTCATTATGATCCAAACAAAAAAGGATGCTGTCTATAATTGAATTAGATACTTAAGATCCAATAGTTCTGGCTTAATAAACAACCTGTTGGTTTGTTCTCATAAAACCACTAAATTAATAATCTTAACTCTTTTCTGTAATATAGACTACTATTTATACTGCTCATGTGCGTGCCTCATGCTTTCAAACAGAAGGTAAAACACAGCAAAACAAGTGAAGATTAGAACATTTTCTTTTTGTGGTAATTAAAATAAAACTTTATATTTTTATCAAAATAGAAATAGTTTCCAACAGTTTCGTTTTCACATGTGCTTTAGGAGACTTCCATGTCTGTTTGTCATCCATTATCACACCAAAACATCAAAATCAGACACTATTTCACTGCTGCCATCCTATACCTTGACAGACCGTAAATCACTCAATCGCAAGGCCATTTCCTGCAGTATACAAACCTCAGCTGTACCCGAAATTCCATATTTTTTCATATTTATCAACATAAGAAACATGTTGCAATGCTAGTACCAATACTACTACCTTAAAAGTATCATCACCAGCAATAAAGTACTTCACGTGACAACATTTTCTACTTTTCTCAATACCCATTATGTGAATGAAATTATTTTACCACAGAAATATGTTGAAAGGGCTTACATTTTTTAAAAGAAGAAGAAGATGAACCTTTATTTTATCCCAGAGGGGAAATGAAGGTGTAGGTCAAGGCCAAGTCCCTACAGACTGAGCCACTGACGTCCACAAAAGATTGTTTATACCACACTGACTGCATACCTTGTAGCCACTGCAGTAGTGGGCCAATGACAAGGCCCATACAATTGCGATGATCAGCTGCAAGAAATACAAATAGTATTTTTTTTTTATTCTAGACCTTGGTAAAAAGGATAAAATGCAAGTAATGTTAACTAGAGAAGATTCATTACCATTGGTACTGGGTTACTCCCGGCAATATATTTTATGATATAGGGTTCCGATGCCCAGCCTTACTGTTATACCCCTCTCTCTTTAGCCTATTCCCAGTTTGCTTCCATCAAATAAAGGTGAACATGCTCGCTTGTGATTAGATGGGACTGTTTCATCGCTTAAGGAAGTTGCATTTCATGCTCCAACTGCACTTAAAGATCTCTGTTGGGACAATCTGCTTTAAGACTACTGAAGGCAGTTCCTATTTTCCATAATACCACCCTATGGACGCTGCATGGCATTTAGAATACAGATCAACGATGAACTATTGGATTGGATTGTGGTATTGCACGATAAAAAACAAAGTGCTCTGGGGAATTGCAAGCATTGAGCGAACCATTAAATACTATGTCTTGAAACGCTGTGGTCTACCGGGCATGTTGTGTATTCTATACTGTCCCACATGTGATTGATTACAATTGTCTGAAGCACACCAGTTTATTATTCGATTCAGCAAAGCCCCCCAGTCCCATGAGGAAGTTCTTCCTTGGATGACTGGAGTAGATGTGCAATGGGAATGATCTTCAATCATGTTTAAACACAATGAACTGCTTTTAAACTGTACATATGACCTACAATGTAAGCCCCTAATGCTTTGACCATATAGACTTGTCAGTAGTGCCGATATACAAACCCTCTGCACTCCATTAGTTTCAAAGCTCTGTGATAAATGTTCACATTGCTTTCCAAAATAATTTACATGATTTATTGAGTACATATAAATGTAGTTACAGTAATAACGCAAAGGCTGTATATGAGTTTTTAAAGTTGCACCCCAGTGATATAGAAATGATTTGCACTTTAACCTTAAATATAACATATCTGAATGAACCCTATACATGCCATAGCTAGGGAATGATCTACTTAATGAAGGTTTTTCATCATTCTGCAAGCTGCTGCTGTGCCATGCTGTACAACTGTCATCAGAAACCCCGATGCTGCATGGTGCCACACGTGTTCCTATAATGGGGGATGGTATTGAAATAGTACCATTGGGTATTATTGGAAAACTTAACCTACTGCATCTTTTGAATATCAGATGTTCCCTTTTCGTAAGCTTGAAAAAGAAAAAGACAAGTCAAGACGTTAATTCAAACATCTTCTCAAACCCACCTTCAGAGTACTAACTTTTCCACTGATGATCCATACGTCCACTATGTTCAAAATGTGCAAATGCGCATTGTTAAGGTTCCTGGTACATGGAGGGTGCCACTGACCCAACATAAGACTCATGCCAACATATACATGCATCAATTTAACTATCAGAGCTCTTAGTGCTGCTCTGTTGGTTGGACCAGTATGTTTATGGCACACTGCTTGCAAGACTGAAAGCAATTACTAATTAAAAGCCATTGTGATATTGAAACATATCACTGCATATACTGTATGTGTTTGCAGTGGTGTACATGTGAATGCAGCCAATTTGTCAATCATTACTGGAGATCTTTCTAACGACCAAATGTAATAATGTTGTTACAGCAATATGCTAAAAATGTGCCTTAAAGGTAAAGCTAATAATGCTAACATTACCTAGCTAATATTATAGGTTTATGTCACACAGTTTGATCCATTCCTCACTTTTTAATGTTTGGAAAGGCAATAAAAAAAGATTCCACCAATAAACCCAGGCTCACTACAGCCCCATGAAGGACTGGAGGAATCCAAAGCTTGTCAGACCTGCGGCCTTCTAATATAGCTGCTATTATTAAACAATCACTCTTTGTGGGGGGGGGGGGGTCATTAAGAGGTCAGTTGTGAAATGGAAAAAAGCTGAACAATAACAAGACTAAAAGTACCAAGTGGAATTTTAAAGCATTTAATAATAATTGTTGTGATAACAATAAAACATGGAAATTGGAGAATTTAATGATAATGTATATATTTTTTATTTAGAGTGTAATAATGCATAAACCATTTCTAATGTTCTTCTATACTAAAATAATTGATGTATAATTTGCCTTAAACTTGAAAATGGAATTATTCTAGCAGCACACTCCAGGAACTACACTGTGAATTCTTATGTTTTTTATTAAGGTATTTAATTTGTGTTTATCTCTACAGACAGTAGAGCCCCCTTTTACAAATGTATAATTTGCGAATTGGGCTATATAAATAACAAGTAATTTGATTTGATGACATGAAATGTTAACCAAATTGTGATTTTGCAGTATTTTTAATTTTGAACATGCTTGTGGTGGCACTATGATTGTCTTGTCTTATTACTGTTCGCATTTAAATCATGCACATTAAATAAATATTCTCTTGAATCCTTATTCCATACCACTAATGACAGCAAACATGTTCTGCTAAGAGTTTTATATAGCTTTGAACATTATTATATTGCCCTGTGGAGTTACGAAAAGGTTATTCAACGGTTTTTCCTTATATAAACACAGTAATTATCTCATCAGTGTCTAAATGTCCTCTAATTATGATCTTGTGTCTGGTTTTGGTCACACAGCTGTCTGCCACCTCCACATCCCGAGCGGCCTTCTTGCAGTGCGTTCGTTGGGGGATCTGGTTCCCCTTCCAGGAGCCGGCTGACTGGAAAGGGGAAGAAATACAGATTGTTCTGCGAGGAGGTGCAAAACCAAACCCTCACGGAGTCATGGTCTACAGCACAGAGATGTCTGCCAAAACCCAGAGTCCTGTCACCCTCTCGCCTCCAGGCAGTGCTCAGGTAACACCATCGCAGCGGAGGCATGTCTCTGTCAAAAAAAGCTTACATTAAAAATGTGTTACGAGTGTTACGACACAGTGTTGTTGAGAGCACTCACATAGAAGTTTCTCTAAAGACAAACACATTCACATGATTGATCATTCTACTTTCTTTGACAGTTTTTATCTTCAAAGTTGATTGCACTTATTGTAAGTTGCTTTTGATGAAAATCAGCTAAATTAAATAAAAAAATAGATGTAACAGTCAAGATGACATCACCCTGCATTGTTAATAATCATCACAGTTTACAGCACACTCGTGAAAGTCAAACATTTCAAAGGGTGCAAAAGTCGTCACCGTGTGATGACTTCACCTTTCGCACCTCAGCTGTGACTTTCACACAGATATTTTAATATATATATTAATATAATAACTCCACGACACCGTCTCGTTATCCGCTGCTAGATCATCCATTCCAGTTGTGTGCATCCCTCCATATCGGTTTTCCGACAGTTTTTTTATATCACTGAAATGTGTGAAACGTTCTCCTCTCAAGGAGGGGAAGGATACCATAACGTTTCGGCTGTCGTCCAGTCTGGAGAGGAAGGCCTCCAGCCCAAAGGCATCTCTGAGGACAAAGCAGGAGGAAGTGTCACGTCAGAGAAGATCACCTTCATCACCTTTGAGGGGTAAATATCATCATGTAATCCATAATGACTTTTTAAGCACATACATTATTTTCTTGGAAAGGCTAATTTTCCCTCCAAGAATAAGGTGAGCTGCTCTTTACTACTTAAAAACAACCCTAATTTATTGTTCTAACTCTTGTTTATTGGACCAGAAAGAATGTGGTCCACTTCTGCAAATTATTTTGTGCAACAACACCCAGGTGTAATCAGGCGAAGTTCTGAGCAACAACCCAGCCCGTCCTCTGCAGTGTTTATCTCAAATGCAGCACCTGCTCTCTGCATGATTAGCACGTTTCATGATTGGGGTCTGAGGGGAATAAAGGGATAAACTCAAAGTGCTAGGAGAGGACTCTATCAGTCCAATAGGACCTCTTGATCTTGAACGAGACTTATTTTGCCTCTTCGTGCTAATGTCTCCTCGAAGGGTACAACTTTAACTTGAACATAGACAACAACTAACACATTAGTTTTTACTTTAAATACTGGTGGAATTAAGCATCTAAAAGTACAGATAGCAATAATGTTTGTATTTTCAGTGATACCATGTCAGTGATAGCATGTGAACAAATACATTTTGGATGGAGCAAAGAACAGATGTTATCGATGAGATATATATTGAAGTTGTCGTTTTATTTCCCACTCTATCCCTCTCCAATGTTTTTGAATGTCCATTAATTTAGTTCAAACCTGGTGTTTCTGCACAGTTCTAGCAGTCACTACATTGTGCACATTTGGGACAGTAAGAAATGTACACTACTTATTACTGCAAGAGCAGCTGGTGGTAAGGACCTCAGACAACTTCAATTTAAAACAGGCTATAGGGACAAGTGCCATCAGTTTGAGGCTTGATTGAATAACATGAATTCAAAAATAGATCATACTATCAAAAATACTACAACGAATGAAAATAAGATTGAGATAATTGAAACTGTGGTTTAAATAAGTTCTAAAAGGCTATTGTTGTTTTCAGATTTAGAAACAAATTTATTTTTAAAATGTATTTCTGGCGTTGCTAATGACGACCCGCGAACGATTAGCGAACGTTGCAAGCAAGCTAAAGAAAGAAGAAAGCTGAATGATGCTGTGAGAGGTACAGAGGATAATATTACCAGCGAAAGTGAACAAGTGTTTGAGGCTTGATTGAATAACATTAATTAAAAAATAAATCATACTATCAAAATACTACAACGAATGAAAATAAGCTTTACATATGGAGACAAGTTCCATAACTTGTCTCACAGCGAATGAGATGATGACTGTTTATCCATACAAGTGACATACTGTAATTGCAGCAGAACAGCTTCAGTGTGCATTTGAAAACTTTTCACCAACATCACACACCTGCCACATGTCTCACCAAATCTATTGCAGGGATTTAAGAAAATAAACCAAGTCCCTGTTTTTATTTCTTCAGATGCTGTATGCTGCTGAATTTTCCTAGCAGAGTGATTTATATTCCGCCGCTCCCAATTAGGCATGACTGTTCCACGATATCCCTCCAAAAATAACTCATGAACCCCGAGCTTTAAAGAGGCCTCCCGCTGATACAAAGTTCTGGTTAAATATTCCACTTCCCCCTCACAGCCAGATATAAATGACGAGCCACTGTCTGCATCTCTTACTGAAGCCCTAACTGCTGCTCTGTGTCCATCAGGGAGTTGATTCAAAGTGTAGTAAACACAACACACGGCCACTCAATCCCAGTGACAGCTGAAATAATTTGAGTGGACCCCGGTTGTATTCTCGATGATTTCCCCTCTAATGATGCTGTCTTATATTTTATATTAGGAAAGAACAATAGCGTTGATCAGGGCCTACTTCATGGATGTGTAGAGAAAGCTTTTGCCATTGTCTAATAATGACTTTTAAATCAGTCCCTAAGTGTCCTCAGAGATTCGCCCAAGAAGCCTGAATAACTTTGGGCAAAAATGATATCATGAATCTCTGTCATTCCTTCATTTCAGCGCCTTTACCATCCTCTACTTTGTTTTTCAGCACATGGATATGCCAGTAGGTGTGCTGCTTTTCATCGCAGATAGCTCAGTTAGACCGATAACACATTCATAGCTAGAATAAACTATGTAATTCTTGCCTTTGATGTTTGTTTACTTACTCCTATTGAACGCTATCTGCGCCTCACATTGAACCAGATATTGGATAGAAAAAACAAGCCACTTGTTACCTCTTGTAAACCCTAACCCTCACACTCTGATGAATACATTATAGCCAATACATTATCAGTAGATATTGCAAAGCCAGATTGCTTTCATTTACCTAGCAAATGTAGCCTAGGTGGCAGTAAAGTTGGGTTGTGATCGGCCAATAAACCCATACGACGTAGAACGAGCACAGTGCACTGACTATAGATCCAAACATGTTTTTACTGGTTTGGACTTTCTTCACAGTTTCTGAGGATGACATCACAATTGCAAATTGCCATATGCTTTTTGTTATACATTACTAGAAAACATACTTTTGAAGCATTATTGATGATGTTAACAATAATAGTGTCAGTTCAACTAGCTATCAGAGCTATCCAATATGTAATCCTCTATCTTTGCATACTACATTGAAGCATTTCTTACCCTCTGGTGTGCTCAAAGTTCAGCTTATTTTCTTCCTAAAATACAAAGCATGTGAAATAGTTTGAATGAATAATTGTTTCTTCCCGAAAAAAGTTTATACATTCATATCATGCATTGTTAGTGTAAACTGAAAAAGCACAACTCTCAGACCAGGCCGGTAAAATAAATGTTTTACTTAAGGTCAGGAGGCGAAACAAGGCAGGCAGGTGGTATAATGCAATCTTATCCAATAGGGGATCAGGCTGGAGAATAGGAGATCAAAAGGCACACCGGGGGTCATAACAGGTCAAACTCAGCCAGGCAAATGTCTGTAAATCAGAAAGGCACTCGATAATCTGGCAGGAATTAACCATAGACTGTATACACATTGAAGAGGCCACTGCAACATCCTCCATACATTTGTGGACTGCAGTTTTGAAGACACACAGTGATGCATTCCCTGCTTTACTGTCTATTTCACTCTTAATTCATAAAATATACATCTTACTGTTTTAAAGAAGACTTAATAATATTGTATAAGACAATAAACATATAAGGAAAATGGTTAGTGCGGTATTTAATCAAATAAGAAGTTGGGACATTTTCTCATAGACTTCTGCAAAATCTGACTCCTTTTCGTAAACCAGTGGAGTCGCTCTCAGCTGGCTTTTTAAACAAATATTGTAGATTTAAACTGTTACATTTGCTGGGTTCCAGTATGGTATTGGGCAGATGAAAAAGGTGGGACCAGTGGGCAGGTCCAGTGATGTGGAATGGCGGGAATGTGGAATGCGACAGTAGATTTACTTCATTGCAGGGGGGAAAGCAGACAAGTGTGAAACCTCCAAGTTATTTATGATATTTCATGAATAACTTTGAGGATGGAAATTCTCATCCAGTCCATACATTTTCCTTAATGCATAATTTAGCTACAGAAACCCTGGTTGTTTGCATGACCATCACACATCAGAGGGCTAAAATATAGAGGGGATCACGCTGTTTTGACACATATTCTCATTAATGAGTTTTAATGATGCATCACATTTACATATTTAAATGTATACTTCCTCAATCTCTGCCGTGCATATACCAAAAATACATCTCACGTACATCTGCTAGTTGGCTCATCTGTCAAAAAAGTCCTCTCATTGATCACAAATAAACAGCCAGTACATGTCAGTCCAGCTAATGAGGTGAAACCCATTTACCACAGACGAGACATAAAAACAGGAAACAGAAAGGCCCTTAAAAACAAAATGGCCACCGGGGGAAGGAGATGCCAGAGCACATTTGTGACAGAGAGCCAGTTTTGCTCCGTCTCCACTCTGTGTGCATGTAGTCTGAACAGATGGGAGCTACAGTAAGACACCCCGGGCAACTGAAGCAATTTCCAAAAGGCCAGTCAAGCCCAGCGCAGAGAGCGCGAAAGAGTGGGAGAGGAGGACAAAGAGATGCTGGAAAGCCTTTCATTTGAGCATTAACATGGCTACTAACCAAAAAGAAAAACTCAGGAAACCATTGTTAGACTTTAAACTCAGTGTGACATCTGAATATGCCTCTTGATCTGTATGAAATTGGAAAAGATTTGTTAGCAATAAGTAGTTTTGGTGCCCCGGTGTTCAGTGGAGTTATTTGCTGAAGTTATGCACGACACATTGTCACAGTACATTCATTTACTTTATACCTCGGAGTGCTACCTGACTGAAAATCCAATCAGCAAGAAAGCAATCAGCAATGACATTTAACTGTCAACTATCATTCCCCCCCCTCACAAGCGGATATTTCATTAAAATGTCTAACCGCACTTACAATTAGAAGTGCTTCCATCTACACAGGGCAATCGAAAGACATTAAAATGACTTTAATTGAGCGTGTTAAACATTGTACTGGAGTTATTTGCATAAATATACAGATAAAGACATCGAGAATAAAAGGGATGACAATTACACTTAGCTTACACCTACAATGTGAATATATAGTTGTCCTAATCTTCTTTTATTTTGTGTTTTTCAGGTCAAAGAAATATTCCGCCAGCTTCTCCTCCAGATTCTCCTCAAGGCCCCGGGGTAAGACACCTTGTGACCTACTCAACTTAAATAAGTAACTCTGGTACTATGACAAAATAGGACTTTAACTAAAGTTCAAACGTTCTCACTGAAAGCTTGAAGCATTTTAGAAGCCTTTGTACTAATTTCTCAACACCTTTCAGGTTTAAATCCTGCTATCAAGGAGTCCACACAGGATCACTTTTGCTTATCATCGGTCATTTAAAGCTGCATTTAGGGATTGTCTTGTTGCCACAGCGGGACAAGCGGAAAATACAACATCCGACATATTAGCTTTATTAACAGTCTATTTAAATGGGACCTATCATGCAAAATGCACTTTTGTACGTCTTTTATACATGAATATGTGTTCCCGGTGTTCCAGGGAACTCACCAAGTGTCAGAAAACACAACCCTCTCTCTTTTCCTCCATACCCAAATCTCTAAAAACGGGGCTGCAACGGATCAAAACTGATCCAGATTTGAAATTGTTCTGACGTCAGAAACAGGGAGCTCCGCCTATATGGGCAACTCTCCACCTATCAGGGGAATGAGAGGTTGCCGTGGCATGGTAACAGCATGGTAACAGCATGGTAACATGACGCTCGTGCCTCGCCCCCTTCCTTTGCAGGGGGGCGTGGTCAGCTGCAGCTCATTTGCCACAGAATCAGCCCTTGCAAAAACAGGGCTGGAATACAGCAAATAGAGCGAAATGAGGCATGGCTAAAATGCATGATCTGTTTGGTATTTTGAAAAAAAACCTTCACAGACATGTTTTATATAGGTATGGCCCTACAATATATTATTCAAATATAGCATGATAGGTCCACTTTAAGTAGCAGACAAAAGATTAACATAACTAAGGATTTTTCACACAAAAAAAACTCACCTATGCTTTGTTTTTGTTTTTTCTGAATAGCTGCTGCTAAAAGTCTGACTATATTCTAACGCTGGTCACTAATTTAGTCTTTCTGACGTTTTAAGGTGGGCAAATAGTATCCAATGCTTTGTTCTTCTACTGTTGTTGCTGAAAACAGTAAAAACTGTCAATTACACTATTGCCTTATAAACATTTACTATTTGTATTATTACTTCCTGCTAGTTAATGTACTTTAAAACACTACTAAGTTTTTGAGCATAATTGTTTACTTTTTTATTTGATTTTAACTTACTTTTTACAATAAGCACTACTTGTTTTTCACTTGCTTTTCATCTGCACTGTCCTTTTTCTGTTGTTACATTCTAATTTCACCGCTGTGGGAGGAATAAATTATATCTCATTCTGAACTTCACTGACATAACAGTATTGATTAGTAAAGCTTTAAAGGTCCCATGTCATGGCCATTTCTACTGATCATAATTCCATTGTTGAGGTATACTAAAATAGATTTATACTGTGCAATTTTCCAAACTCACATTGGTTTCTCATACAGCATCTCTGTATAGTATGTGTATTCACTCTCTATCCTAAACGGCTTGTTGGAGCTCTTGCCCCCCCCTCCCTGTGAGCCAAGTGTGCTCTGATTGGTCGGGACGTTGCGAGACTCGTTGCTGCGATCTGCTGCGAGGAGCGGACAGGCTTCCGGGTCGGCGATACAGCGAGAACAAGCTAAACTCACAAACGCTCACAGCCGAAGTAAAAACAATAAGTGTGGCTTGATATTGAGTAAGAAAAAGGTTTATAACGCTGTGAGCATGGGTCTGCGGAGAGCATTTCTCCGCGATCCCAACTTAGCTGCCCGAAAAACGTTTACCCATTTAAACAGTCATGGTAGATACCTTGTTTGTTTTAAACATCATAAATACACAAACAACAATGAATACTTACAGGTTGTGTACCCGAATCTCCCGCTGGTCCAAACAAAGTAGGAACAGCATCGTTCTTCAGTGCCCTACGCTGTACATATCCGCCATGAATCGCTGAAAGGTTTGTGAAGCTTTGTTTCGTGAAATGCTGGCAGAGGGTGTGGCCTCTGGGTATTCACACGTCACAGTACCCAGGAAGTAAACAATGGAAAATGAGGGCTTTTTTTGACTCTGCAGACAATGTACATGCATAACAACCTTCATAACACACAAGGGGACGGGTAATGACCGGAAAAGCATGACATGGGCCCTTTAAGTCATTTATCAAGTACAACCAGCTTTATTGGAAATCAACAATAAAAAAAACGGTGATTTTAGAGTTTTGACAGACAAATTCAATAATAGTAAGACATGTCTTTGGGGCTTAAAACCCAAAGACATTAACTAATCAATTTTAAAGGGTAATTTCCAATTTTCTGCCATTATTTTGCCTGAAAAACGAATACATTTAGCCTTAAAAAAGCTTAATCTATTAAAAATAAATAATTTGCTTCCTCAGTTGAAGCCAATTCTAATGCTGTCATTTATGTATGAATGTAAAAGCTAGAATGACATGACATTGATCAATAGATCTACCTTTTGACACTTTCAATCCATAGAAATAACGTTATGAGTAGATTCAAATGAGACTTAGGCTCTCTATACTGGTCTTTATATGGTACATGGAGCATGTCTCCCCTCTAGGTCAGGTGTCAGTAAGTGCGGACCTGGAGGGATGTCTGCATGACAGGAACAGGAAGCCCCTCTAGCAGTTCCCTGTAGCTTTACAACAATACATCTCCCACTCTGTGCTCTTTAAAAAAAGATCATACATCTTGACTAACCCACAGTCATGCTCTGTCTGATTTGTGGACATAAATTGCAGGTCAAGCTTATATAATATTTTTAAATGTCAAGAAATAAAAGCATAACTTGTCCCAGATCTCTCTGCAACAATGTGATTAGGCAGCGTAATTGGCATCTTTATAATTCCTTTATCTTCAATGAGATTCAAGAACGATAGGGTCTTTCAAAAATATCCCGCAGCCAGTGTTACTGAATATGTATAGGCCTACAGGGAACAATATGAAGTTTGTGTGTGTGTGTGTGTGTGTGTGTGTTCATTGGAAATGTTATTCTTGGTAAAGACAACAAGAGATCTGTGTGTGTCAATGAGGGAATGGTTCAAAATCACCACAGAAACCTGAGAAATATGAGTAATACGGATAATAATTAACATGCATTAAATCAGATTAAATGTCACATTAGCATCAGTGTAAACTTCTTACAGGCAACCAATATTGTACTGATCAATTCTGAAAAAACTAATAGTATTAACTGCATCATGATCACCCAGCCAATATATAAGGAGACTGAATCATACCATTCTTATTGATATACAGACATGGAGCATATGTAACATTTACCAACAGTGTGTGTTGCTGTGTGTGTCTGTTTGTCCTGACCGAGCTAAGCTACCGTTACCATCATCCCTCAGCCTGAGTGGAGTTGCCAGTAGAGACTGGTTGTAGTGATGGATGCTGCTCACTCTCAGGATGAGGCACACACACACACTCAAACACACACATACACACACTAACATTGCGCCACAGAGCGGAGGAGGAGAAAGATCAGGTCTGTTTCAGTGTGAGCTCTCCGGGCCAATATGAGCCGCAGTGTGTATTGTCGACTCATTTTTCAAATTGAACCAACAGGGGTTTGGAGCTGTGGGAGAAATGCACCCATGAACTCTACAAACCGACCCTCTTTTTGATTAAGCACCGAGGGCGGTGAAAGCCTGGTAGCGGGCAGCTCCCAGTGGCTTAGAAGAGAGGCTGTGGTCATACTGGGCGGCACGGGATGACATTAGAAGAGGGGTGTGCTTAGCAGGAAATACCACTGTGAGCGCAAATCATTCAAAACATCACCACTGTGTTTTTTTTTATGATCCAGCAAGTAATTAGTAATATTTCAAATGTCAAATGGTTAAAAGTGTAACCACATTTCCCAAAATGAGCATTTAAAAGCATTGGAAGAGAAGCACAAATTATATATTCTGGTACAAGAACATGTAATTATTATTATGAAATCCCATCATTTAAAGGGCAGACATCAAGCTTTTGTCTTTAGTGTTAAAGGTTGAAATCAGAATGTATTCCCAAGAAATAAAAAAAGACTCTGCAGTAGCCAGAGTTAAGATCAGCATGATGCTACAGTATAGCGTATATTGGAAGGAATATAACACAATTGAAATGAAGAGGGATTTGTACAATTATTATAATGTATTAACATACAATTAAAGTACTTTCTTCAAAGCCTCTTGACTCCATTAAAAAGCAGTTATGTTACCATCATTGTGAAAATGCCTTTTTTAGTTTTTTCACTTTAGTTTTTTCAATTTCTAGTTTGAAAGTTTGAAAGGGTTACTGAATAAGTAACACGTTTTAAATAAAACAACTAACCACCAAAATATATTATGCAATATACTTTGTCCTCCAAATTTGAAAGAGAAAATATATAATCCTCTGCTAGAAATGGTAAAGAAGCCTACTGACTTTTTAAGTATTCAAGTCGTTAAAAACTTTTTTTTGTGGCATAAGGGTAAAAGTGACTAGCTAATGTTGTGTATCAAATATCGAGAAGCAAAAGAGCTAGGAGTTGGTAGAGTCAAAAGCAAAGCAAAAGGAGGGGAAATGTGTAAATTACAATCGTTGGTTATCTACAAGCACAACTACAAATGTGTCTATTTGTTTCCCTGTCAGCTGAACGTGTAGTGAGGTGTTACAAGACTAGACACACTCTTAATGCAGTAAGTTACCAGTAAATCCATCTAATAACAGAATCATCTTTATTACACCAATATTGAGTAAAAAAAGCAGCAGTCATTAGCGCCCTGGCTGCTCAATGTGTACAGCATCCATATCTATCTGAGGGCTATCCAGGATTCTGCATAAAGAAATGAAACAGAAAAAAGTGTGTGAAGCCGTGCCACTGCTGTTGGCAGTCGCTCGACAATTCATCACGAGTCTGTTGTTCACAAAATTCACGAACACAGTCTTTTTCTGTCTCTCCCTATCTTTGTCTCCTACCTTTTCAAAGACGTTTAAAATCCACTTGTTTCATTCCTAAGAATGATTTTGCCCATTTGGCTAAAAATAAAACATTATTCCCTCTTT